CTGCTGCTGCTGCTTCTGTTCCACTAGCCCCAAAATGCCCTGATTAGTTTTCTCAGAAAGGTGACAAAATACCTTACCAAGGCAGATTCAGGAAGAGACGGTTTATTTGACTATACACTAGAAGTCCGAGAGTGCAGGCTGCTAGCAATCACAAGGAAGGCCTGAGAAGCTCTAGTTTGGGGAGGGGGCAGGAGTGCGAGGTGGCAGGTCACATTACACCTGAAGTCAGGAAGGAAGAGATAAATGCTGGAACTCAGGTGATTTTCTGTAATGTCTAGTGCTGTTTCAGGGATGGACCCATCTGGGGCAATAAGGGAATAAAGAAAAGATGGACAGATGGACACACAAACAGAAAGCTAGGGTCGGGTAGTCCCTAGTCCGAGCTCTTAGATGGAGAAACCGTAGCGTCCTGGAAGTGCAGCATGTTTATTATATAGATTTGAAGAGAGGTGGGGTTATCGCATGTTGAATGAGTAGGCTCAATTATTATTCACAGATAAACAAGGAGGCAGGGGCTATGGTATGCAGCTGGATCAAGGAGACAAGTCTGGCCAATCTTTGTAGGAGGCATCTCTGTAGGTAACTAGTCTTCCAGCTCTAAGTATCCAGGGGGAGAAAGATATAGTGAACATTTTCTGCACATACTACCAATAGTCATACTCTGACTCCCAAGGAGGACTGTGCCATTTTCCCTGAGCCTTACCCAGGGAAAGCTTTGCCATTTCTCCATGCGTCTGAGGCTCTAGTGTCCTTGGCATGGCTGTGCCTGTGTTAATAACATGCATTCTACACAGGACTTCACTCATTCAGGCCTTCCTCCCCTCCCTACAGTTTTCTCCTTTTTATTTAGTTCAGGACACAGCTCATGGGATGTTGCTGCCCACACATTTAGGGTGGGCCTTCCCTCCTCAGTTGAACCTCTCTGGAAGTACCCTTGTAAGGTATGTGTCCTGGGCAATTCTAAATCCAGGTAAGCTGATAATGAGAATCAAGCATCATTGTGATCTACAGTGAAATGTCTGTGTCCCTTCAAGCCTACTTGGCCCTTCATGGGTGTTGATGGTCTACAGAAGGTCTCTTCCACAGCCCACTTCTATCTACCTCACTAGCTCTCTCCCCTCTGACCTCAGTGAGGGAGGCATATCTGTACTAGCTGCAGCCCCCTGCAAGTTCTGGACACGATCTTGACCTTCATGCATCTCATCCAGACATTCTTTTTGACTTCTTGTCTTGAGTGAAGAAACCATCTTCCCATAAGACCCATCCTTGACTTCTTCAGAGTCTCACTAAGCCACATTTCACCACTTGGTGCAGAGTCCTGTTCTTTCATCTGATTCTTTTCCTCGTGTCATTTTTCCCCTTATCCTTGACCTTGGTTCTCTAAGACTAGAGAAGAGGTCCATACCTAGTATTTCTATCCTTTCCTCATCTAGGCAGGTCCCCTGCCTCAGAATACTGTCCCCTCCAGTGGACATGTAGCTTCCTTTTTGTCCTCCCTCGAGCTCTCTTTGGATGATGTGTTAGTTTTCTGTTGCTGTGATGAAACACAAGCAGGAAATGGGTTGAGGCTATCAATGCCCCAGTAATGTACCTTTTCCAGCCCCACCTCCTGAAGGTTCCACAGTCTTCCCAAACAGTGCCGTGAAGGAGGCCCAAGTGTTCAAATGCACGAGCCATGGGGGACACTCTCACAACAGATGAGTAGTTGTCAGGTTATTCCCAGTCCTGGTCCTTCTCTGTCTCCCCTGGTGTTGGGGGTCTGTCATGTCAGCACTTGCACCCCGGTTCCAGGTTGCTCTGCGTCTTGGGACAGAGACACTGTGTAGAAAGAGTCCGCATCTCTTCATCTTCGTCACCCCAGTACCTGGCTAAGTAGCTGCTTGGCAGATGCTCATGTGAACACTGTTGTCGTTCTTGGCCTCGGTTGCTAGGCTTTACTGCAAATGGCAGAAGGGCCAGTTTGCACTTCCATTTTTGCCCTGGCTACTGCCCATCTTTAAAACAATGGAGTGAAGTACAAAGTAGGAACGAAGGCAGCTCTGGAGAGATACCTATGGCCACTCAGAACCCCTCGAGAGTTGCCCTGTGCAGACTTACACTTGACTCCCAACTTGGATGCAGACTGTAGACCAAGAAATGACTAGAGTGTCATTACAGACCTCAGCAGGGCTATACCTTGTGGTGCTGTCTCTAAGTTATTTCACCACAAATGATTTCTTCCCTCTGCAAATGTGTCTCTGTATCAACATGGTTTGCTTTGCCTTGTTTACCCCTAATTTTCCAGTGTACTTCGAATGCTGGGGAGTCTAGATTCTTCCATGTCCTGAAAGAAAATTGCCCTGTCATGTCACATTAACGACAGCGGAGCATTCTGTCTGAGGGCCACTGAACCCTGCTGCTGGATTGACCCATGTGCAGGAAATCACCTCCCACTTCCCAAAGTGCTCTTGATTTCTTGATTTGACCATTTGTCAGGTTTCTGTCGTCTGCATCCCTGGGGGAACTGTCCCTCGGGACAAATAGAAGACTTGAAGGGAATAGAATGTTTATCTATCTCTAGGAAACATGACTAGCTTGTTACAAAATGTAAGATTGGAATTGAAAAAGCGTGAGATTGGAATTGAAAACTGCTCTTTTTGGATGGAGTCCTGCTTTTGAGACATCGGCTTCTGGGATATAGTGGAGATGCCTGTTTATTGGGAAAGAGCTTCGAGATGAGGCCTTTCTTAGCGCTTGTTACAGGAGATCGAGTGTGGACATGGAAACTTTGGTTTGAATATTTAGATTAACATGCCAATGGAAAATATTAATAATTCAATAATAGCTGTAAAATGGCTAAATGTTTTTAGGTGAAAAGTGTAGCAGAGACTTATCTGCATCAGGTTCTGCAATGGGTATTCAGTCCAGCTCCTGGAGGGAATATGTGGCCATCTTACAGGGAAAGCCCACAGGCAGGTAATGTGTTTATTGACACTCTTGCTAGTTTGAATGTTATGTGTAAGTGTATATGCAAATGTGTGCACATTCCTGGCTGAGGAACATCCTGAAGCCTGGGGCCTAAAACTGATGGTCTCAAATTTGGTCTTCTCTGGACGTTCGGGGAGTCTCAGGGATGTGAAACTGTCTCCACCGGCCCTCCAAATCTGGTGAGATTTTCCCCTGTGCCAAGGACTTCAGTGTTTTGGTTGGTACTACCTACAGGAAGTTCTGGTTTAAAAAGAGTAGGAAGAGTGTCTTTGGCAGACTCACAGGTAGCTTCTCCTTAGGCCAACAGATCGCCAAAGGGGAAACACCAAAGGGGAATGTGGGCTGGCATTTCTCTTGGAAGAAGTTAATAGTCAGAATTCACAGGGGAGGCAGTCAGTGACTGCTGGCAACTGCAGTGAGGCCTGGTGCCTGTCACAGCATCTCTAGGAGATGTGAACGCCAGTCAGCTTTTCACATGCCGCAGAACCCGGTGAAACAGGCTTCCAGCTCTCCACCTCTTCCAGAACTGAGGAGAAGGCAGCTGAGCGACTGCTGTGAAGAGTTAGTTCTCTTGGGAGAGCACTGAGGCCCCTCCAGCTGTTTCCAAGCATGAAGCAGCCTCCCCAAGGAGACAGCGACCTAAATGGAAAGAATTAGGCTGCATTAAATGACTCATTAAATGTCTCCTTCATAAAAGCAGAAGTGTGAGTAGGGATGAGGAGCCAAGGGGGAAACAGCTTGAGAGGTGTTGGAGAAACAGAGCCTGAAGGCATCTATTCTTTCCTGCTAGGCCCTAGTCTGTGTGGAATACTGGCCTGGATAAGTCTGCTGCCTAATCTGGGAATGTGTGGGCCTTGGCATGTGTTTACTGAATGGGCTTAAATGAGTGAGGTCATGGCCACCAGGTGACAGGTGAATAGCATGAATGCTTACCCAAGCCTACAGCCTGTGAGACAACCTATATCTATCCAACAAGTCCCCTTCCCCAAGATGTCACCTGTTTACTTCCTTCATACAGTCAGCGTGGCAAGATTCTTGGTCATTGGTGGCACCTCCTGCCATACCGAATAAAGGGCCTATGATATGTAAACATCTGGAAAACCCAGATGATCTAGAGCACTTCAAAAGACAGATCTGCTTCAGTGCCAGGTTGGAATAGTACCTGAGGCCTGACTGTTCAGCTCCATGCCCACACAAGTTCTGCCTAACCTTCTGGCTTGTAGTGTTGCATTTCTATAGTTGCAGCCAGACTCACCTGAGACATGTGACTTTATTTCCAGTCTTTCAGTAGGGAAAGCTCAGGACAACTTGGGACACAGTCTGATTTCTAGAAAGAGAGAATTCTTTCTTGAATGGCAGGCACAGAATAGATGGAGTAAAGCGGCAACCAGTAGGGGTGTTGCTGGCTGCAATGTCAAAATTGTGTTTATAGTCTATAGAAGCCAGCTGAGTCTGCCAAGTGTCCTGAGCCCAACATGACCTTTGGAAGAAAAGTGTTAACAAGGAGTGTTTACAGAGGCAGCAAACATGGGGATTAATAGGATACTCCTGTTTTGAAGGTTGTGTAGTTAGGAGGGGGTCCAGGTTCTTGATTCAATTTGGCTCCTGTCTCTGAAGTGCGCAGATATGCTTGTTTTTGTACAAGTAGGAGAAAAGGCCTGAAGGAAAGACAGAGGATCCACAGGCTTGGACCAAGTGGGACACATTTGAGCTATGTCGAGGCTTCATGTCATCAAGAGGGGACAGAAGAGAGTGCCGTGAATGAGAATCCCTGGAACGAAGCTGTGTCTGCTAATGCTGATTGGCTAATTAAAGCTTTGATGACTTTGGAGAGGATGGGATGTTGCAGATCCAGAGCCTAAATACAGTTGTGTTGGAATGCTTTTAGTCCCCTAAATAGCCATTTCTTGCCCTGCTCTGTTATATCTGACATTTACACACATGTGTGCACACACAGATAACGTAATAGTAGATAAATAGAAGATATCACGGATAACTGGTAAACAGAGCATGCCTTTGTCTCTACCTCCTAGGAAACCTCACTGGACACCCTGGCCCCTGGGAGTGAAACTCCCATCCCGACTGGGTACTGAACTTCCTGAACAGCCAACCGACACCTAGCCAGCAGAGCTGATACACGTGCAGGTGACTCTTTAGCATCTCTGGTCCCAGAGTCATGTTGTTTATGACAGAGTCAGGGGTTTGGGTACTAAGTGGGTGAAAGGATGCTGAGTCTGGAGATGCGTGCTGCACAGGATGGGTCTGGCAGGCAAGGTTTTTGGTTTAGAAGAGATGTCTTTTAGGTAAGATAGGCTATCTTGAGAGAGGAACAACTTGTAAGTGGTTGGTGCAGAAAGACAAGGAAGGACCCCTCATCCTAAGGAGAAAATTTGCCTCTGGTACAGGGCCTGGAGCACCACGACCAATGTTCTGCTTAAAGACAAGACACTGTCTCCATCTATTGTTAATTGATCACTCCATTCTTGAATACTCCATCTCAAAAGGCCCACCGAACCTTGTGTATACTAGTTTCTCCCAAGGGGGAGGCAGGGGTTCTGATAACCTGGGCCAAACTGAGCCTGAAGCAGGGAGGAAATGCCTGTTCTGGATTGCACCCAAATCTGTAATTGCAAACACATTATTTTCTCATACTTTCTGAGTGGACTGTTTATACATTTATTGTACAGCATAGTGGGAATAATACCTTGATTACTTTGGCACTATTTAATATGTATTAATATTTTTCAGGCTCAAATGTAATTTCTCCTGAAATGATCCAGCGGCCCCATGCAGTCGAGGCTTGCCTGGCCCCTCTTTGCTCAATAATGGCGGCTGTGCAGCTGCTTTAAAGCACACTGGCACTTGGCACCAGTGAACATGTCCTTCTCTTTTATCACACCCCAGCCACAGCCTCTGGACCTGCCTGACTCACAACTCACCAAGTTTTGGATTCTGGTATATATATAAATGTAAACTAATTATCATGCAGTATTAAAATGCACACTTAGTAAGGGAGCGGTCATTATTTCTCTTTCATTATTGTTCTAGCCATTTGTTCCTCCGTGGTTTAGGAAAATATGATTAAGCCTTGTTTCTGTGGGGAGGAAGAAAGTGCGGCCCACCTCAGCCTCTTTACAGTCATGTGTTAGAAGTTCCTCCATCCTGTTTTCCTGGAAGGGATGGCTGCTGATCTGCTTGGTCAGTTTTGTGCCATTCCCCTCCTCCAGATACTTCCTTCCATCCCTGCTAACAGTCACTAAGGCACAAGGAAGGGCAGGGAAGACTTGTGGCGCATGAGGAATCTAGGCCACAAATGCCCGCATCCAAAGGTCCTGCCTGTTAGCAGGGGCTCCACCCACTGTTATGGACAGGGTCTCCATACGAGGCCTCACAGCCTCTGAGAAGCTCATCTGTCTCTCTTCAGGCTCTTCTCACCCACTGGGCAGAAATGCTTCCAAGCTCTGAAGACTTAGCTCCCACAAAGCACACCTCCTTTCCCCAGACTGTCCAGAGTCCAGCAGCCACTGTGTCCTCCACACCTAGAGGCTTGGCCCCTCTAATGCCCTTGCTGAAGGGTTGTCCACAGTCTCTCTTCTCTTCTTTTTGTCATATACAAGAGGATGCAGAGAACCCTGGCAGGAAGCCATTTCCTTTGGTTTTATTTGAAACTCCTTTGGTGAAGTTAATGTTGGAGGCATCCTGTCCCAGACTTGCTTTGACTCTACCACCTTTTAGAGTTCATTGATAAAGAGAAACTCAATGTCGAGTTCAGCTGGGACTTGGTCCCTGTGTTGTTTGCAATGGAGCATCCCATTGCCTCAATGGGGACTTGTTCTCCAGATAGTACTCTTGCTGTGAGTTCAGTGGGGATATCAGCTTTCCCCATAAATGAGCTTTTCAAAGAATTATTTTTCTAATAACTGTGATGTTTCCAAAGTTTCAGAAATCTATTCACACTTTCGTCAATACTCCATTAACTTATTTTCTGTCATGTGCTTCTATAGGTCTAGGTGCTCATAGGATTATGTATTGTCAAAAATGGAGAACTTGTGGAGGAAAAAATTGATATCTGATATCCCATGGGGACCTGGGAGTCCTGATCCAGGCCCAATTTCTGCCCGTAACTACTGTTTTGAGAAGACATTTAGCTAAGTGTCCTAGCCCTGGAACATGGAGGGTAGTGTCCACTGTTCATTGCTGAGGGGCCAGTATGATTTACTGTCATAGCCCTCTTTGGTTGACTTACAGCTGTATATGCTGACTTCATGCTGGGTTAGCCTGGGTTTCTGAGTCTTGGGGGAGTCAGGAATAGATTAAGAATAATATAATCAAACTCTAAGTAAAGGTGTTTGGTGACAAGAATCAATCATGGATGCCATCAGTGAATCTTCCTTCCTGCCATCATGTCCCCAGAAGAGGGCCTCACTTCTGCTTTGAGGCCGCTGCCCCAATCCTCCTGAGTCTTTCTGTGTCTCCTTGATCCTTCTAGTTTATCTGGTCTTGTTCTGTCCCTAAAGTGACAGGTCTGTTGTCCCAGTTGCTTTAGCTGCTATAATGAGTCATGGGAATGGGAGCTTCTAAGTGACAGATTTCTTAGTTCTAGAGGCTGGAGATCTGAGATAAGGGTGTCACCTGTGTGGTGTTGTATGATTCTTTTCCAGGTGCACACAGCTGCCTCCTTCTTGTGTTGTCTTTGGAGGGAAAGGATGAGGGAACTCTCTGGAATTCCTTTAGTCAGGGCATGGATTCCATTTGTGAGAGTTTACCTCCCGAAGAACTCTTCCTGATAGTGTCACTTTGGGTCTGGAGGACCCAGTATAAGAGCTTTGGGTCACAAACATGAAGTCCACAGTGACCTTGCCTGCAGGGCTCCCTGTGGCTCTGTGGCCTGATTCCTTTTCCTTATCTCTCCCACTTTCTCAGAGGAAGAAACAGTGAGTGTAGTATTGTCTGCTCTGAGGAGGTCCTTGGTTCCCAGAAGGGCTCAGATTCTCTTCTGAGTGTGGATTTGGGGCCCGTCAGCTCTGGGAGAGACAGGTTCTTCTGTGGAGTGGCAGCCTCTGGAAGGCTGGCTTTGCCAAGAAAGCAGAGCAAACCTTTCTTCTTGAAGGAGTGGTCTGTCTGCACAGAGCATCCCCAGAGTATGGGGCTTTAAGGCCAGCAGGCAGGACTCTCATGAACATTAACCCAAGACTGAGAATTCAGAATACAGCTCCAAGAGATTGCTTACTTGCTGGCTGTCAGGCTCATGGTAGGGATAGGGACCAAGGGGAGCTCCAATACCACCTAACACATGTGGCTGTACCCAAAGCTGACCTTCATTATAATGGAAGGGACAGACACACAGCCAAATCTCAAGGGACAAAGAAGCAGGTGGGAGAATCTGCACGTCTCTAAGGTATGAGCTTCCTTATCCTTTCTCCACCTCAAGAAGGAGTTTCAGGAGTTCATTCTTCCTCCTGAAATACACGTGCAGCCAGACATGGGCCTTTGCCCTGTTTTAGAAAGAGTCTCACCCTATAGCCAAGGCTAGCCTGGGCCTCATGTAGCCCAGACTAGCCTTTAATTAGGAGCAATTCCATCTTAGCTTTGCAAGTGCTGGGATTACAGATGTGAGCTGCTACATTTGGTTCATGCTGAGGTTCTCACTAGGGCTAGTCCCATAGGTTCCTCTGCCCGGTACATGCCAGAGTGTGACAAACTGGTAATAATGAATGGTAAATGAAATTTTGTGGAGTCCTGGTGTCACGGGTACAGATCCTGAGGTTTGATCCAAGCACACTGCTGAAGCTACATGTCACCAAAAGCTGAGCATAATCCCTCAATCCCTTTAATCAACAGTGGTGGTGATCTCTGCATTGGCAGAGGTGCAGGTGCTGAACCACCCGACAGCACATGGGCAGGCCTGTCACCCTGAGGGACCTTTCCTTCTTTCATGCATAAAGCTGGCCATTGTCAGCATGCTTAATCAGGAGAAAAACTATAAAAGCAAATGACACAATTGATTCAGTATACTCAGGGTTGTTAGACTATTCGGAGTTAGTGGCTGGTTGAATATTTTAAAGAAAATCACAAATTTAAAATGCATATTTATTTTCTTCATATGGCTCCTGCTGAAGTCACATTATCCTCCTGTGGTGAATCTGTCAATCACTGTTCACTATCTCCCATATCAACTATGATAGCTGTAGTCCTCAGGCACAGCGGGGCAGGGGCAGTGCTTGTGTCCCTGGAGAGCAAAGTGGTAGCTGAGGGCAGCATGGTATTGAATGTGAGCCCCAGGTCAGCTCTGGAGACTCAGCCATTCCTGCAACATATCTTAGAAAGAAGCTTGCAGACTCCCTGGAGAACTTGCTGAGATGACTAAGGCAGGACCAGAAAGGAAGATGCAGCCTTCATGTGCGGGTACCAGGTCTCTGTTCAACAGCCAAGGGGTAGGAAATGCAATCCCATTATGCAGTTGGCTAACCAGGGCAGGGGCTTCTTTGAGTATTGGTGTGTTGGTAATAGATGACATCTAGTTGCAAGCCCAGTTCAGAGGCTCTTTCATGTAGTGGCTTCTAGTTTCCCCTTGAACACAATCTTACTTTAACTTGTAGAAGTTTGGTTTTTTATGTAAGGATGGCTGCAGATGAGCCTGTGAAAGAAAGGGGTGGTACCTTCAAGGGCCATGTGGTGGTTTGAAGGAAAATGGCCCTCAAATGGAGTAGCACTATTAGGAGGTGTGGCTTAGTTGGAGTAGTTGTGGTCTTATTGGAGGAAGTGTGTCACTGTGGAGATGGGCTTCGAGGTTTCATATATGCTCAAGCTATGTCCAGTAAGACAGTCACTTCCTGTTGCCTTTGGATCAAGATGTAAGAACTGTCATCTAGGGCACTATGTCTGCCTGCATACTGCCTTGTTTCCCCCCAATGATGATAATGGACTAAACCTCTGAACTGTAAGCCACCACATCTGAATGTTTTCCTTTAGAGGAGTTGTCAGTGTTATGGTGTCTCTTCACAGCAATAGAAACCCTAACTAAGACAGACCACATGCCACACCTCAAAATCATGGTGATGTTAGATAGTTATAAGGGACTTATCCAAGGATGGGGCAGGATGAATAGGAGGATGGGAAAGAGGTCACAATCTAGTGTCTCAGGTTTGATGACTCAGCATCTGGAAGGCTCTCCCAGGTGGTAGATAGCATCTCATCACTGGATGACATGGCTATAGTTGTTATCTCATCACGGTTCTGAAATACAAGGTCTTTTCTCAGTACCATGTATGTATTTCAAAGTCAACTTCAGTAAGAACAGCATTTAACTGTTAGCTGCTAGAGGATAATTGTGGGATAAACTGTATCAGTGAATCCATTAAGAACTTAGAGGATTAATTTTCATTATGGCTGCTAGTTAGTAAACATTATCTTTATATCAGCCTGGAAAAATAATATGAGTGATGGGAACTATTTAATTTATTTTTCATTAATTTTAGAGCTTTAATTATGGCAACTCTTTGCATTTATAGCAGTCTTTTAAGAGGACCGAAGCAAGTTATTTGGGGGGTCTGATTTGTAGAGAGAGCTCTTACAGGTTCCCCGAAAGGGAACAGTCAGCCCTCGGGAGCTGAGTTGCATCCCAGGGATGACCATTAAACTAAGTCAGCCTGGGTGTAGTTTGATAGGACAAAGAGCCAGGATTTAACCTAGTAGTGATCTGGACCTCAATTATTTTTATTATTTATTTATTTATTCATTCATTCATTCAAAAATCTCCCAACCAAAAAAACAAAAAAAAAAAAAAAACAAAAAATCCCAGGCCCAGATGGCTCAGTGCAGAATTCTCCCAGAAATTCAAAGGAGAGTTAATTCCAATACTCCTCAAAGTGTTCCACACAATAGAAGCAGGAGGTTCGCTGCCAAGCTCTTTTTACCAGGCTACAATTACCTTGGTACCGAAGACACAACTAAGAAAGAGAACTTCAGACCAATATCCCCCAT